ATTATCATGTCTACAATCATTCCCCAAAGTTTTACATTTTTTGGAATTTATTTGATATTTTTAAACAGAGTTTTAAAATCAGGTTTTGCAGAGTATCAGTATCATTGCTGATGTCTTTTCAACTAAGCTAAGAAGTTTTTAAAGAAGTTTTTAAACAAGGTTTTAAACAAGGGTTTAAGCTTGTTTTTGTTTGGTTTAAGTTTGTTTTGGTTTGCTGTTACAAAGAGGAGTTTACAATCAGCTATTGAAGAGTTCATCTTCAACATTTCATCATCCTCTCTTTGTGTTTATAGAGAAGTTTCCTTAACTCTATTTCCTAGCATTTTTACTATTGAATTTCATATCAATTCTTATTGCTAGTTCTTATTGAGTTAAGTTTTATTTACTCATTGTTACACACACACCCACATTGAGCTTATTGTATCTTTCATACATAGTATAGTTGGGTGGTGAGAGATTGTAACTTTGAGTTGTGCTTTCATTGTGTTCTCATCTATTGTAGAGAACAAATTTATATTTGTTACATTGTGAGTGTTGTAAGGTTTTCGGTGAGCTAGAAACTGAGTGTGTAGTGAGGTTTTCGGTGAGCTAGAAACCGAGTGTGTAGTGAGGTTTTCGGTGAGCTAGAAACCGAGTGTGAGGAGTGACGTTGATCGGTGAGCGTTGAAAACCGATACTGTGAGGTGTAAACGTTATTCGGGTGAACGTAGAAAACCCGGTTGATAGTGGATTTCTCCCCGGGAGTGGGGAGCGGAGACGTAGGACGGAAGGTCCGAACTCCGTGATCATATTGCTTGTTTGAGTGTGCTTTGGCGTTCATTCATATTTATGTTCATATCTTATATCGCCATTGTCATTAGCTCATTATCTATTTCATCCACTATCTTGTTTAGATTATTTACCCTTGTGTTGTTTATATATCCTTGCATATATTTCATCATATAGGATATATCACTTTGTGTATATTGCATATTCTTGCCCATAATAGATTGTATACCTATCTTGCAAGAATATAGTTGTTAATTAATTTTTAATTGGCATTTAATCGGATTAGATTAGCATAAGACCCTAATCACCCCCCCTCTAGGGTCTAACAGTCCTTTGTCTTGGCCGAGAAGTAACGCCTTTCGAGTCGACCCTGCGAGGCGTCGAATAACTGGTCGAGTAGGCTTGTGGCAAGTCGTCTTCGATAAGAGGACCGACAAGTACTGCCATTCGAGTTGATCTAAGGAGATGTCGACTCGGCGGGTCGGCTAAGTCGAGGTCCTTGGTTACCCTGATCGTCAATCTGGTTTGAGCGGTGCATGTAGGGGGGCACATGTCCGTTACTGGCAAATGGTAGTACTTTGGCGACTGAGAACACCATAACACGGTGGAAATAGAATTTTCATATGAGTGATTATGTCAGCAAATTGAATTGTAGTAGATGTGGGATACCTAATCAATTGAACTTTCCAAATATATCTCCAAGCCAATATGATTTGAATCCTATTAAAATTCCAACCAATGAAATTAACTTGCCACATATTCAAATTGAAGCATATGACCGAGCCTAAGTATTTGAGGCAAACATCAACAAAAAATAAATTTATCTTTCCATAAGGGAAAAATAGTAAAAATTTTCATTTAGATGTCTATCTGCGAAGATAAAACTAGAGAGACAATAAAAGTTCAAAACAACGATATTACAGGGGGTCTAAGCACGATCCATGAACTCTAGAGTATGGATTTAAGTAACTCTTAAAGTCTTAGATGTGATGGTTAACGTTGAGAGTTAGGATTTTATGCTTCATAAATATATACCCTTGTTGGTTGAACACCCTTTTTAAAAATTTAGTATAAATTTCCCATAGAACTTAAATCTGGATGTTTTGTAATGTCACCTTAAAGTCTCTTCGACAGTGCTACATGACAATTCTGAAGTGTTTACATATGTGCGAAGAGTTCAGGTTATAGATATTGGTATTCATGTGCTCGCAATTATTATACTTGCAAAGCGATCAATTAAAATATAACCCATGTTTCTAAATCATAAGAACTCTGTTCAATAAACACAATGGTACATCCATAATAATAAAACTAATACACTTCATTCTTAAATTTGACAGTCAAAATGCAGCTTCAACAGTAAAAACAGGAGCAAATTCAATTGCATCAGCAGGATCTTTGCCTTGAATATGCTTCCTCCAAAGTCTAATTTTCTCAAAAAACTTCCTATAAACACAAATCATAGCTCTTGCTCTTTTGATTCTAGCTCTAACTTTGATGTTTAACTTTGATATCGCCACTTTTGTGAACAGGGGCTTCTTTCTTTTGATATCAGCCTTCTTTAGTTCTTTGTAGATGAGATACCGTGCTCTCCTGTGCTTCATTTCATCAGGATCTTCCTTATTAACTCCTGAGTAAGAGTAGTGGCTCCTACGAAGATTCATAGCAAAGCTCGTGCGCGTGCGCATGCACAAACAAACCTTTCAAGTTGAGGAGTGGTCGAACAACACGTGCACAAACACGCTTGTGCTTGAATTGAGGAGCGGTTGAACAACAGGAACTGAAACTGAATAATATAAAAAATGCACAAGAACACTTGTGATCAAATTTATTAGTTTCGAGTGTTGGAGGAAATATGAGAGGTATTTAAAGCACCAAAAACGATAGTGAGACAAAATTAAGGAATCAAGAGAGGGAGTTTGTAGGAAAGTGAGAGATCATAGGATTTGGCTCCTGATTTGAGGACTCATGCTCCTCTGCCGTCAGGCTTGAAAATTTGAAAGATGTTTTGTTCTCTTTTGCTTTCTGCCTTTGTCTTATTTTGTCTAGGCTTTTGCCAGTTAAAAAATAAAATAAAAAAAGAAGAAGAAGAAAACAGTGACGGGTTTGTTTCAAATACCGTATGAAGTATATTTTGGCTATTTTCATATACTTTTCCCCCATCATCTCTTTGATGCTGAGGGTAAAAATATGATACATAAAGAGGGGTAATGATTTTGCATCGAGTTCTTTTTACCATTGTGTTAGCATCATGGAAGCTGAGAAGAACTCTCTATGTAAAACTTGCATCAAAATTTGGACATGGATTTTCTCTCTTACATATACTTCACGATTCGATAATGCAATATTAGTTGTAACCATGAATGTCATCTCACAATTTTTATGCCTCATCGATCCTTTGCTTGCATGCTTATTTAATCACCCAGTGAAAGCGATGGATCAACATAGAGAATACTTTTACAAAATAACCTACATATGATATTATGATCGATCTAAATAAATGAAAAATAAAATAAATTATGCAATACTTTTAAACATTCAACAGTTTTCAGTGATTGCTACATTGTTCACATAACTTCAAGCTCTACTTATTCCACTTCTAATGAGGTGTTTCCTGAAACCTGAAACCTGTATACAAGATGGCACTGATCTACTAGTATCCACTTGACAAATCATTGCTTATGCCTCAGAAAGTCTTGTGTCGACGAGCTTAATCTAATATTACTTAAAAACAGCAACGCATCAACCGGTTAAGTCTCATCATGGAAGATATTTTTTTCATTGTCCAAAAACTTTATTAAAACACCCCTAATATATGTTACATTTTCAAACCAAACGTGTGGTCAAACAGTTAATTTTCTTCGGCTTTTTCGCTGAACTGCGAGGCCTCGTTTGGTACGCGGGAATGAAGTGGAATGGAATGGTCATTCTCACTTCTCGTTCCTTCCTACCAAACACACCCTCTTTTTTGAAGTTGGAATGCTCATTCACACTTCTCATCAATTCCCAATTTATGTGGGAATGAGCATTCCCAATGAAATGATAGGGAATGAGCAATCCCACTTAAATGAGAATCAATAAAAAAATAATTTTAAAATACGTTCATTCCCACTTTACTTTATAAATTACACCCAAACGTGAGAATGAGAATAACTATTTCATTCTTACATTAATTCTATTCTATTTCTTCTTCCATTCTATTCTCATTTTAGTTCATTCTCGCGTACCAAACGAGGTAATTTATAATTTTCAAAATGTTTTAATAAAATTTTGAATTTGTAGGGGTGTTTTTGTAATTTTAAAACTTGGAAGATATTTTTTTCAATGTCCAAAAACTTTTAGGTGCTGGCTAATATATATATTTTAGATTTCTCTACAAAATAAAATAAGTAAAAGATTTGAATTATATCAAACGTATATTCTTTATCTAATAACATGTTAAGTCTCATTATGGATAGGATAAATCATTTAATTATAATTTTAAAGAAGATAAGAAAATTAAAATAGATTAGGATAACAATATAATATTTAAAAAAATTAAGGGTAATATTGACCATGAAAAGATTTTTCTCAACTCGATAGGATAAATTATTTAGTTATAAATTCAAAGAAGATAGGAAAATTAGAATAGATTAGGATAATAATATAATATTTAAAAAAATTAAGGATAATATTAACTATGAAAAGATTTTCAACAACTTGTACTTTTAAAAGAAGTACGATATGATATGATATCATATTATATGATTTTATATTTTGGAAACAAATAAAAATTTGCTTTTTCTTAATAAAAAATTAACTAAAATAACAAATCAAAATATCTACTCGCGTAATCCGTGGGCCCCACCTACAACTGCACACACTTTTCTCATATAAACCAATCAGAACACGCCTAATTCGTGGGGCCCACTTTCAAGTCCTCAGGTACATATTCGGGGTGCTGTTGAAAACGGGTGCCTCTAACAATTTCCTTATAATTCCCATCGCTCTCTATCTCTGTTAAATAATCGTCTCGTTCCTAAACCCTCCCCCTCTCTTTACTCTTCTTTTTTCTAGGGTTAGGGTTTTCTCCAAAACCCACCCTTTTTTTTCCTCTTCAATTAATTTCGAATTAGGGTTTCAAGATGATGCAACAACCTC